AGAAAAAGTCTTAAAACTCTACAGATGAATAGTTAATGCTACCAATTTGGTATCAGTTATGGTCCAGAACTTATCAGGGACACACTGTGAATTTTGTTGTTGCCGTTTTAACAGAAGCCTCAGAAACATACTAAATAGCAAAACATTTCAACTATGCCAGTTGTGTTCTTGGACTCTTCCCCCATTTTTGATGGTACAGACAGAACACTGGAGCAGTAATTCAAGCAAAAGCCTAAAAGTAAAAGCAAAATGGAGTAGAAAACCTAAGTTCTATAAATCAGAGCAGTCTCAGCAAAACACACGTTATGGCAAGTCCCACTAAGGCCAGGATTGGAAAAGTGCAAGCACCCACCCCTGGCTATACCTCAAAAGTTCAAAACTATTTTTAAATATAGACCCCACTTTATGTTTTTAGGAGTTGTAAATCAGGGAAAACAATTTTTTCCATTCCCAATAAAATATTTGCACCCAAAGCAAAATCAACCAATTTCTGGCTTTCTACCAGCTTTGCTTGGGCATAAAATTTTCTGACACTTCACCAGAAATGTCAGCGTTAGTTATAAGGCAGCTTTAAAGAAGGAAATAATTTTTATGACCTGTACATAACCCCCTTAACCTTAACAAGATAAAAGGGGGAACCATACCTGAAATCCATTTTTTTACTTGTTAATAAATACAGAATAAATTATTTTTCTTAGTAGCCAAATATTTCCCTATAAGAAGAATTGGTCAATGAATTGGTGAGGGGCAGGATCACGTCTCTTTTACTGCCATAGTCCCAACCCTGCACATGTCCCCCCAAGAAGAAGGATTTCAATGAACATTCTAATAAGAAGGGGGAGAGAAAGGAGGGGAAAAAGGAAGGCTGGAGGGGAAAAAATGACAGAAAAAAGAAGCAAAAAGAAGAAGAGCAGTGCAGAAGGAGATCTTTTCCTTTGTCTTTGTATTTGTGCTTTTGTTTTTCTTGAACTTTCCATCCAACATGATAGAAAACCAGTTACCTCTTTTCTTAGGGCTACCGGTATGAAGCTAGGCACAGTGTCCACTGCAGGCATGCCGTCTACTCTAGAAAGAGCCAACCAGCAAGTCTCCTTGGGGGCCCAGAAAAGGGACCACGAAGAGGGAGGGAGGGTTGAGATGAAGCTATTGGAAACTCCTCTACCCAACAGTCATCCCTTCACCAACATCCAAGGGCAAGACTGGCTGGCATGTCTAGGGTGGAACAGAGCTAGAGTCCAAGCCAGCAGGCCCAGGGCAGGCCTCTGGAAGAGGGAACACCGAAACTAGTTCTAGAGGGACAGAGTCGGCACAGGAAGATGGGACAGGGGGTAGAAGTGAATCACAGAAATGGCTACACATCAACTGGGACAGTTTTTCCCTCAAGTGCTTCAAGGAATATAGTCTATGAATACCTATTTGAGAGACTGAAGCTTGAACAAAACTTCACAGGATTCTTTACTGCAGGGCTTTTCAGAGCTTTTACTATGCAACCGTAGCAGAAGGGTTAAAAAATGTAATTATGCATCAGAAAGGAGTGACTTTGAGACAAGAGCAATGCCTTTACTTGCTAGCTGTATTAACCTGAGCAAAAACTTCAACTTTTATAAACTCCAGGCTCCTCTTCTCTAACGTGGAAGAAATGGCAGACCAATCTCATACAACTGTGAAAAGAAGTGATTACTAGAAAAAATGAACAGTTCAGCACTGACACTTAGTTAACACACAACTATATTATCAATGCTGCTGTTATTTCTGTTTCTTCTCATTATTACTATTACTATTATTATTATTATCAACTGGTATCACGAGTATAAAAAAGAATGTCAAACACAGGATTTGTTAGTTGCATTTTCCATCAGCAATTCTTTGGAAATGCCAAGACAGCATGCGGTACCCAGCTTAACACCCAGTAGGTACTTACTATGACTATGCGTTTTAGAAGAAATGGAGCATAGAAAGGACAGGGAAAATTATGAGAGTTAAAGTATACTCTGGACAAGGTGCTTTTCATTATTTCTTTAGGCAATAGTCCTCCAAAGTCTGTGGGGAGTGACTTCATCTTTTGCTAGAAGAATGAAGGATGGAGAGCACAGGGTTCGGCTCTGGGGAGTTTATTTTGGTGGAAGTGTTTGAAGAGACTCCGTAACAATGAGCTCATGCCTGCTGTCAGGTGCCAGCCATCAGCTTGGGCTTGCAGGGAGGGAGTAACCGAGGCCCATCACCGACAGCCCCGTCATCAGACACACGATCTCACACACCCGGAGGTTCCCAGAAGCACAGTGAAAAGAGGGCACCCTCCTCTCCAAAAGGGGACACTGAGGCCCAAACAGGGAAGTGGCTGACTCAGGATCCAAAGCAAGCTGGGGGATGGTAAAGCCAGGGAAAGACTGAAACCTTCTGGTTTTACTTGGTTGATTCTCTGGCAGGATTTTGAACTGAATCCTAAAGGCAATCTTTTTCTTCTTTAGTTAATTCCTACATACATTTATCGAGATAACCTCATCTCTCATAAGTCACATGCTAATCTCACAAATAGTTCCTAGACATGAGTAAGTTTCATACAAACCCTCCCTCTGGGCACAACACAGGACTCCTGTTAAACCTCTCCGGCTTCCCACTGCTTTGTATGTGAAGAGATTCATGACAGAAGTGGTGTTTACCGGAGACCTGAGCAGGGTGCATTGTACCAAGCCCAATACTTAATACCTGTCTACCTGAATTTAAGCATGAGAATCTGTATAGAGCTGGAAAAGGAAATGAGGTCACCAAAAGCCGCAAGTGGAGGGAGACATTCCCATGGAATACACAACACAAAGAAAAGCCCTTACGTACTGACATTTTCAAACTTCACTTTGGGGGGCTGGAGTGTGTAAGGGCAAGCCACAAACTTCTGTAGTGAGAAAGATCAGACATGATTTTCTAAAATCCATGATATATGTACAAAATGTACATGTATGCACATACATGTGTATCTCAACTGTAAGTCATATAAAGAAAGCACATGAACCAGAGATCTTATATTCAATTCAATGGTTACATGCATTTTACTTTAACTGGTAAACCTGGAAGTAGTTGGAATAAAAGTATAGTGACCTGTGGAAATTTGTCAAAGCTCATGAAAGCTTTTAAGCATCTAAGACTTTTTTATTTCCAGGAAAGTAGGGCTGCCCAATTCTTCTCTCACAAATAATATAACCAGAGGTTGTTCACAGCAACTGTAGATTTTCTCTATTGTGTTCACTTGTGGCACCAGGGTAAATGATATTGGAATGATGTAAACTTTAATTTGATCCCTTGAGTTTTTTCAACCCGATCTGGCAAGTACATTTTACCAAACTAAATCAGCACATCCTGCCCCCTATCCAGAGCCACTGGTTACTCAAAACTCTGCCCAGCCCTAACCTTGCACCCTACCTCAGAAACACAGAGCTCATGTTTGTTCACCATGAAATAAGAGAAGACTAAGAACCATACAGCATAGTTTCTGATGGGCAAAAATCCACAGCAGAATGTGGATGAAAAACTGAATGCCCAGGCAGGAGGCTGAGGTATGGGAGCAAAAGGGGACCCTAGGCACAACGGCTTTAGTATCAAGAGGTACAGATTAGGGGTAGCAAAAGAAAGGGGAAATGAGAAAGAAAACAAACAAAAAAAAAGAGCCAAGAAAAAAAGCTTAAAGCTTCATTAAATGAGTGGATCCAAAACTTGGAGGAAAGGTTTGGATGCCATATGGCCAAGCCTCCTGCCCAATTCCCATTACGATGTCTGTGTTTCTGCACCAGATTCATCTATTCCAGGGGATGAATTAACACTCATTAACTTTTTGGTAATCTCTGAATAGATCTCTGCTGAGGAAACTTTGGAGAATGGGGCTGCCTTCAGTGTAATGAGCACCAAGTCGTTCCCATGGGAATAGCAAAGACTAGAGAAGGGGTCCGAGCCGCCAGGGCGGGGAGCCGGAGATGGGACACGCTGCTAATGTGAGCAGGAGGTCTGATTTTAAAGTTATTTGCTGCTGGAGTAAATGCATAGTTCTAGGGGACTAAAGGGTCGCATCAAGTAAAGGTCTCAGACTCTGCATAAAAAAGTAATATTGCTCATCTCTCCAAAAAGCAATGGTCTTGCCTACCAATTTAACACTTCCTTTTTAAAAATCTAGCTAGCTCTAAATCAACCAATGAACATCCTTTAGTAAATTCATTAATTGAATGATAAAGAAATCATGTACACATTACTATATATTCTCAGAAAAAGAAGTCTTCCTTGAGAAAGAGGAAATTACTAACATGGGCTTCCCACATTACAGAAATGAAATCTGGGATGCCTGAATATCAGGGTGCATGTGTAATCAATAGTGAATCTAGTTTTACATTTTGTTCCGTATGTTGTGCACTGAATAATTAAAGTATGTCTTCTGACTAATAAAAATGAATTTACAAAGTTAAAACCAAAACAATGACAGGAAATAACATATGTGTACAATATGTTACTAACCCACTGATAATTTTCAAAAGTGACTTTCAAAAAGCATTCTAAATCTTTCAAAACATAGTGATTGATTAAGTGTAAATTCTGAATGGGTTTACACTATTCAATTGAGCTTTTAAGTTGTTGTGTCATGGAAAGATCTTTTGTTCTCCAAATTTAGTGCCTTCGTTTTGTTTTCTCCACAGCCCCATGCTGTATCATCATTCAATGTTCTGAACTGCTCTGGAGAAATGTATTAGGGAGTCATCCCAATAATTTCTCTTCTTTATTGTACAATCCAGAGATAGGTTTTATCAAATAGTACAACAGTGATTTATTTCCTTCTTCTTCTTTGCCTTTTCCCACCTATACAGCCTTCTCATGAAATACACCTCCCCTAGGCATGAAATGAAATGGGAAAAAATGTAGTGGCCAGAGGAAAACCATTTCACAAATGCGTTGTTAAACAAGTGCAAGCAATAAGTTGAGCTTAGGAGGGAAAGGCGGTTAGGAGAAAAACTGAAAGTACTGACCTGAGAGTCAAGCTGATTGAAGCAAGGGTGAAAGCAGCAATTTGGAGGATAAGCAGAAAGGAAAAGGGATAGCAAAAGAGAATAAAAGGAAGGAAATGCATTAGTTTTAAACGTACAGCCAACAGATGTTGTATTAGCAGGCTTTATAACCAAATGAAGGACAGTAAAGCAATTTTTACCTGATATTATCCCCCAAAAGTCCCAGGTACACACTGTAAGCTGTTATATTAAACATTGCACATAAGAAACTGGTATCTGCCCTCATACACATAATCATAGCAAATAGTCATGTGAACCAGAGGTGGCAGTATTTGCCTTTTTCTGAAAGTATATTTATGGAGAAAGTTCTTATCTGTTTGCATATAAAGTTTTATTATTTAATGAACAGAAATGGAAATTACTAAGGTATCAGACATGGCGATAAGCACTGATGTCAGAAAGATTTTCATTTGAACCAATCAGTTGGATGGTGATCGCCTAGGAGATATTTTTCCTTCTTCCCTGGAAACCAAAATGGGCTTAGCAATTTGGCATTCGGTTCAAAGATTTCCATTTTCGATGCTTACGGAGCACTGCACCTTGGATGATCAAAGGCCATGTGAGGAGGGCTGTGGGTGGGGTACCACCTGCCTCTCAGCCTCCTAAGCCAGGACACAGTAATTTCCAAAGCTAAGAGTAATGTTTTTCAGTTACGAAAATGAGGCTTCAACTTCACCCCGAGAACAACCACATGCCTATTAACTTATTAGTGCAGAAATATCTAACACGCTGTTTTAATTGGTCAAAACAGTAGCCTCTCATGCCAAGCAAAAATTAGAAGACAAAAATCACGTTCATATTCTAGGCTACTACAGGAACCCATAACAGAGATTCATTTTGTTAACCTATAAAATACCCTTTGCAAAATCAAAGTGGATAAACAAAATACTTTATCAGCTACATGTTCAGCAGGATCCCACCATTCCACACTGTGAGGAAGCTTCTTAAGCATTTCACATAGGAAGAAAGAATAAAACAAAACAAATCCCTGGGACAAAGCCTAAACTAGAACATTTCAGTGATTTCAATGTTGATTATAATGATAAAAATCAAAGAGAAAATTCAAAATTAAACACATGGTGACAGGACTGACTTGCTAGTTCCTTGAATTTGAATTCCTCCTACAGAGTGCTCTGCGATCATAAATACACAACTGACCCAAAAAATGAGTTAGTTCAGGCAACGGTCACTGTGGAGACTTCCTTAACACTGGTCCCAGCTGCCGTTTCAAACCCTTCTGGATCGGAGGTAATTGAGCTGAGGTCTGTGGCCAAGTTTAAGAGAATCCTAAACTGAAGAATTACGCAAACATTTAAGGTTGAGTTGCCTTTTCAAGGGTTCCTAGTTTTCATCAAATTCTTAAGGTACCCATGATACCCGCGACCTGCCCCAAATGGTTGCAAGGGAGGATGTACAGCCATCTGCTGCTTGTCTTAAAGAATTTCCTTCAAATCAATTAATAAACCTGAGTAAAAATTACTCAGTGAGAAGAGTGTGTATCAACACAAACAGAACTGCTCTCAAGGTTCTTGCCTGTCCGATAAAGCTTCTAGAAAAAACATATTATAAAACCTTAAAAATAATAATAACGCTTAAGTTTAAATTTTGAAGGCACCAAGGAAATTGTTTCTGCACATTTATTGGGCAAATCAGAAGGAAAAGCAAAAGTTTCTTCCTCAATATTAGATCAAGTTTTGTTAGGCACCTAAAAGTCATTTCCCAGGGTTCAAATGTCTGGTGGCATTCGCTCTTCATCCAGATAATTAAGTGGTATCTTCTTTTCTATTCTGATGTCTTAAGAGTAGCACCCTCAGGGACTGACCCTCACCTCCACAGAGGGGAGGGAAGTGACTAAGGGCTCAATTTCAGTTTTCCCCGTTCTGTAGACAAACACTAGCAAATGTCCTAAGAGATTTAAGATAGTTACATGAAAGGTCACCAGAATGATTCCTGTCCCATGAGTGGGATACAAGAGATCCAGTGGCAGCAAGTCTTGTCTGACAGACTGTCAACCTGTGTCTTCCCCTTAAGGCACCAAGGATTAATTCTAAAAATTTAAATAAAAGTATAAGACTTTGATGGGCACTGTCACGGAAGTGCCACATATCTCACTGCTTCTAAGGCTTACTTAGCTACTTGTGCAGCAAATGTGATATCTGGCCTTGCTGATGGAAGAAAGACTTCAGCCTGATTCTGACCCACTGACAGAGGCTTGCTCAAGGCCCACTACCTTTCTTATTAGAAATTAGTGGCTAATTCCTGAGAGCACCCAACAGGCCAAGGTAAAAGCTTCCAGCAGGGCCACTGGCATGCAGTGCAAAAGTTTACAGGCAGAAGTACACATGAGGTCCACACTAGTGCTATATGCACCCTAAAAAGCAAAATCTAATGGCTGGGGGAAAATATCATTCACATGGAATTTGAGAGGTAAATGCACTGTGCAAATGCCAGCCATGTGTCATTTGCACTATTCAGACTAGAGAAAATTTTAAAAATGGGAAGATTAACAGAACAGAAAGCAAACGTAAACTGCCCTCTGAGAGAAAAGCACGCCACTGTTAGGGACATCTGAGTTATTCCTAACCCTGTACCATTCATTGCATATGAGTAAAGTTCTGGCATATTTTAGAATGCAAATGACTTTTGCATAAAGGTCTTTTCACTCTTGTAGGTCATATTACAAGCCAGAGACCACAACTGACTTCAAGTTCAATATTTTGGCTTTCAAAATCACAAACTTAATTGCAAGAACTTCTCCATGACTCCAAAATGAAGATATATGTCACCCCGCTAAGAAATCTTAGGTCCCAACATTAGGAGGTATGAATTTTGTAGTTTAAGCCAGCAAATGGAGATACTACCCAGTGTGAAAAAAGGCCGCCTGACAATTCAGGGAAGACGTTTTGGTCGGGATACACATGTAGCCCAGCAGATAATGCTTCACAAAGGCAGGCCAAGGCTGAGCCCTCCTTTTCCCAAGACACTTCCCTTCTGGATCGCCAATCTCACCTCCTCAGGGGTCTGGACTGGGGCTGGGGCTCAGACATTTCCCAGACTATGTTGTACTCTTGGACCCAAGACATAGGCAGGCAGAGGCCTGGGACAGAGTCAAGTCTCACCACACATTTTATGAATTACAGTGCCTGGGAGGCATCAGCTTTAAAGAGAGGCAAAGGCAGAGATAAAGCAAATGTGCAGAAAGTACATAAAGATAAATGCCTATAAAATCACTGCTGCTTTAATGGATTCCATATTGAAGAAATAAAACTGTGAATATTTGTGATGATTTAATGGCAAAAGCGTCTAGCTACAACCTGTTTGTCCAACTAGACAATTAAGCTATTTGTATGTATATTTTTATAGTAGCTGAGCCTAATTTTCAATTACAGTACTGGGGAGCTGTTTCAGTACAAAAAAAAAAGCCTTCCAAACATGGGGCACATCACTTTCCTCATAAAAACTAATAAAGAAGAGGTAAATCTCTTTCTGGCCCAGTCATGAAGCCTGCTCAGAGAGGGTTCTAGGCTGGCCCTATGACTGGTACTGTTTGGTACCGTTTGGTACCATGTGACTGTTTGGTATTGGCCTAGTTTCTCCATATTAGTGAAAAGGATCATTCTCAGCAGCTTCTCTGTCAATCCTGGGTTCAAAATCCCAACTTTGGTTCTTGGGAAGTC